TCCACTTATGGAAGCTGTGGAGTTTACGCAGCCTGACGGTGTCAACGTGGCGCTGCCAGCTGTCGTCTACAGGTGCTTGGAGTATCTGCGAGCAAAGAAGGCAATCAGCGAAGAGGGCATCTTCCGGCTCAGCGGGTCAAATATTGTTATCAAGGGCCTGCGCGATCGCTTCAACAACGAAGGTGACATCAGGTTGCTAGACGGGCAGTACTATGACGTTCACGCCGTCGCATCGCTTCTCAAGCTGTACCTGCGAGAACTGCCGGCCTCTGTCCTAACTCGGGAACTGCATCTTGACTTCCTCAAGGTTCTCGGTAAGTGGTCTATCCGGATGACGTTGATTAGTAGACCATGGGCTGACACATTCTAGATATGGACGAGCGTAGCAAGAAGATCCAGAGCTTTAACGTTCTGGTACACAAGCTACCTAGGCCTAACCTTGAGCTCTTGCGACACATGGCGTCTTTCCTGATTGAGATTGTCGACAATTCCGGGGTGAACAAGATGACCGTGAGGAATGTTGGCATCGTATTTGCTCCGACTCTGAACATTCCGGCCCCGTTGATATCCTTCTTCCTGACTGACTACACGGATATCTTCGGTACTGCTCTCGATGAAGCAAGCTCCCCGATCCACGAGATCCGCAACAACACTTCTCACCTGGGGGACGACGCGATTCGGTCTCCTCGGAGGCAGATGTTCTCAGACCTCCCAACGCCGGCATACAACGAGACGACATTCCAGCAGCGTATGGACCGACCGCCTCAAGGCTATCAAGGGAATAGCGCTCCCAGCTATCCGCCCCCACAGCCCCCGCAGCAGTACCAACAGCAGCAGCAGCAGTACGGCCAACAGCAGCAAGGCCAATACAACGGCTATGATTCGGGATTTATTCCCATGCGACCCAGCTACGATGCGCCAGCCTACGACCAGCCATATCACTCTGGAGAGGGATACGGCAGCTTGAACGGCGCTGTTCAGTCTAGCGGAGCTCGCGAACAGCGGCAACGAAAACGAGAGAGCGGCATGCTTTTGATGAACATGGGCATGGGCGGCCAACGCAAGGGCTCGGGTGGATCCAACCCTCCACGCGGAGATGGACGGATGGATGCACGAATGTATTCACAAAACACCAACAACCCTCTAATGGTACGAGAAGAGACGGCGTTCGAGTGAGCAAGCCTGGGCTCGATTCGCGACAGAGACGACACATGACGATGCACCAAGAATTCAGTTTAATTTTTGATTCTTAATTCAGGACCACGGGCCGGATCTTTGGTTACTTGGAAGCGCTGGAGAGGCGGGATTTGGGGTTCCTTTTGCGTGTTGTACGGATATTCAGCGATACCAGGCGTTTGGCGAGATGGAGCAGGCGACTCGCTCGGAGTTGTGTATGCTTTTCGCGTTGCATACCCCCGCCCCTTGCTTGCAGCAGGCCGCTTTCTTTGTTTCGGCGACAGGTTGGCTTCGGCAGTCGCGCGGCGCGTGTTGGAGCTTTCTTTTTGTGCAACTTTTGCTGAGATATCCTGGTTACTTTGATGTATGCGTGGTGCACTGCATTTGCGCAATTGGTTAGGAAATGAATTGAAGTCTGCTAGCACCTACTGTGATGGTTGACCATGTTCGTGATGGGATCGCGTTGGCCTAGCGTCCCGAGGTCTGAGCTTGGGCGTGGATGCGCTTTCCGCGCTGAGACGCAGCTTCCCTCTCGGCGATTGACGACTGCGACGCGCCTGCCTGCTTGTTCGAGACGCGCGCTCAGGCGACAGCGGGCCAGCACAGGACTAGTGGAACCAGACACAGAGCACTTGGCCATGGACGACGGAGCGGCTGCCACGGCGCCTCTGCCTGCGCGCCCCGACGAGCCCGACACGAGAAACAGCCTGCGACACATTCTGGCCGCCGACCCCCCGATGGACGACTCCAAGCCCTCGCCCTCGCAGGCCAACACGCCTGTCCCCGATGGGAGCGACGCTGGCGGCGATGGGCCCGACGCCGCCCGCCCCGTCAACGACACGGACCCGGCGAGGCCGTACTACACGGCGACGACGACGACGACGCGCCGCAATGCCAACGGCAGCGTGTCGTCCGTCTACAGCGGCAACAAGATCAAGCACCTGAAGAAGGACGACGGCATCCCGCTGTGGCGCAAGGACATCCAGTTCGACTTCCTCAAGCTCGTCTTCGAGGACGACCGGCCCGTCTTCACCAAGCAGTCGGACAGCACCAGCGGCCACACCTTCGCCGACATCTACCTCGACGCCATGGCCAAGAGCAGCAAGTGCAGCAAGATCCTCAAGGACAAGCTGCTGACGGAGCGCCCGGCTGCCATCAACATGGCCATGGTGTGTCTGCTCGTCAACGTCGGCCGCATGAACACGACGCTCAACTGTAGGCCACCTGCTGTCCCTCCTCGAGCCCCCCTAACCTGCCACAGTCTTCCCCGAGATGCGCGCCCAGCTGCGCACCTACCACTCCATCCCCTCCCTCCAGGCCCACCAAGACCCGAATGCCTACAAGCAGCTGCAGGACGCGCCCCGCTTGAAGTCCATCCTCAAGGGTGCCACCGAGGACCAGGAGCAGCCCAGCACCATCGAGGAGATCATGGCAGCCTCCGTCCCGCGTACCAACCCCGTCAACCTCATCTTCGTCCTGTCGCAATACGCCCCCAAGATCTCAGAGCTGCACTTCTTCCCGCCGCGCGACTTCTTCGACCTCGTCATGCGCTCCAACCTGAGCAGCAAGAGCAGAGCCACGGCCTTCCTCTGGCTCATGTGGTGGTATCTCGAGAGCGACTTCACCAAGGAGGCTGCCGAGAGCAACCCTTTTGGTCCCGGCCAGATGGGTCCGGCCGACGATCCGACTACGGCTGAGTTCCCTATCAAGTGCCCGCCTTTTGACATACTCTCGCCAGAGCAGGAGGCGCTGGAGAACGTCGACTCCATCGAAGAGAAGACTTTCGGTGAGATTAAGCGCAAGGAGAGGACAGCTATATTGGCAAGCGACATGGCGCCCGTCGTGACAGGCCCCAAGCGTACCAACAAGAAGGGTGAGTGCTGCTATTCACCTGTGACTCCGCTCACGTCCGGCTGTAGCTGACCCACCTCTAGGCTTCAACCAAAACCCAGTCTTCTCCATCGCCGCCGATGATGGTGCTTGGACACCTGGACGCGACAGGCAATCGCCTTCCCATGGTATGCTGCTCTCTAGCCTTTGCGGCGACACCGATCTAACAACACCAGGCTCCGCACGAGGACGAGGCAAGCTTGCAAAATCCATCATCGAACGAGACTACCCCTCAGACACTGACCGTACTCGGTCTGCGTCTCCACCGAACAGCGTCTATAACACAGCCAAGAAGGTGGCTACACCCAACATGCGCATCAATACCCTCCTCAACGAAGACGGACCGGCTTCGTCTCCTGCGCCCAAGGGCCCCGGCCGCGGGAACTGGTCGCGCAATCGCACATCAGGCATAGGCGCCGGAGGAACACCAGCCGCACGTTCTTTCAAGACCAAACTCGACGCTCCACACTCGCAAGATGGCCAGTCCCCCTCCACATCCGCACCCACCTTCAACGGACCACACGGCTTCTACCTCCCGCTCAACGGTTCTGACCCCTCGCACAAACGAACACGTCCCCTTACACAACACCAACTAGCTGTCGAGCAATACAGGAGGCGACGTGTCGACGTCATTCTTGACCGAGGTATTCGCATCGAGTACGCCGCCGCAGCCAAGCGCCGCCGCAAAGCCAACCCCTTTATGCGCAGCTGGATCCGCTGCAAAGGCATGGCCGACGGCTACGACACAGACGAAGAATCGCACGCGCAATTTGCCCAACTTCCCGAATACGAACTCGGCACCAAAACACCCCCGCCCATGCCCTCCGGCCTCGTACCTCTCGACTTTGGCGGCGAAGTCAACGACCATGGCGAGGAGTCATACTACCGCGCTAAGATGCTAAGCAGAGCCCTGCGTCGCTTGGATCGCTGGGAAGGCGGCAGAAGTGCGCTCAGAGCCCGACCCAAGGGCGAGAGGGGTAGCGGATTGCCAGACGTCCATGACAGACCTGTTTTGGGTAGTGAAGATGAAGATGACGAGGATGATGGCGATGACATGATGGATGTGGATGAGATGGAGAGGAGGGAGGCGTTGGAGGATGCTAGTGAGGAAGACAGCGATGATGATGTTGACATGGAGGGCGAGAGGAGATGGGATCCTACTTCACTTCCGCCATTGCCCAGGATGGCTTGACGCGGTGTTGGGCTCAGTTGAGTAGCTGTGAAGTTGTGACTTTGGCATTCTGTCTTGTCTTTTGTAAGGGTCGGGTTTCTTGTGCTTCAATAGGCTGGGTAGCATGGCGTTCATTGCGTGAGACGCGTAGTCGTCTTTATATGGAAATCGGAAAGATTCATTTGCCAGATTATCTGATAATGTCGTTCTCATAAAAGACTGGGTGCATAGTAATACCTCGTAATATGGGGGTGGCTTTGTGTTTGTCGGTGTACGTTGATGACTAGACCACCGTGTTGGTACGATTGATACTGATGAATGTTAAAGACACGTAACCTAATAGAGACATTGGACTTTTGCAACTGTATATTACAGTGCAAGGCTGGGCTAAGGTTGGCTAGTTATCGACACCAGATATGTGAACCTTTTAAGCCACATTCCCAACATAACAACACGACTGACATCAACTTGAAGCTTGAATTCGACAACAACTTGCAGCAAGCTGATTTTATAACACTACAACTAAGCCAACAGAAAGTTCAATGGTATCGTCACAAACAATAACACCCTAACGAAGTCATGCCCAACTCTTGACTACAAGCGGACATCTCCTAGCAAATTATTCCCGCGCACTCCGGCAACAGAAAATCCCTGGCTGCCGCTTCAGATCAGAGCTTTCGCTCGACAACGACGACGAAGACACTGACCAGGAAGACACCGACAGGCGTCCTGGTGCCGAATTGGGTTCAGGTCCCACACCTCCCTAAGGCGCAATTGTATACGCATTGCCATGTTCATTATCCCCACCTGCATTGGCATGGCCATTAGAAGCGAAGTTTGTATGTCCGTTGGAAAGTCCATTCGTGTGTCCGTTCGTCAGCCCCCCGTTCGCATGGCCATTGGTAAGATGGCCATTGAGACCCGTCGCAACAACAACATCCTCGCTATCGTAGTGCAGCCGTAGACTCGTGGGGATGGGACTCTCCTTCGAGCTCGAATCAAGATAATGTCGCATCGTTATGCCGGCGAGTTTGTGCTCCGTGACGGTAAAACGACCCTGTTTGCCCGGTGCGCGCCGCACGTTTGGTAGTTTGAAAACTTCGCGCAGCGTCGCGGCGAGAGACGGGCCTACGAGGCGGGCGCCGAAGCAGAAGTGCAGGCCATGGCCGAGCAGTGTGTACTCCTTGAATGGGCGATGCGGGTCTAGGATCTCAGGGTTGGGAAACGCAACGGGGTCCATGGCGGCTTTGGAAGTTGCAATGAGGATCGTGTGGCCCTTTTTGACGGAAACAGGGCCGCGGACGCCGTCGTTGACGGTAATGTCGCGCGTCGCAACGCGAGGTAGACCGGGAACAACACCAACGTGGCGCATGCCTTCGTAAACGAAGCCTTGGAGTTCGCGGTCCGAGGTCGTAGGGTCCATGTGCGATAGCTCGACGATCCTTGTCTTGTACTTTTCGTACCCAGGAGATAGAAACAAGTCGATCAGCAGACTGGCTTGCTGTGTCAGGTTTCCGGCGACGGGCGCTCCCATACCGATGCAGTCACCGACCATGTCTCCGATGGGCAGCTTGGTGTCCGCTAATGCATGGTAGATGCGGTCGGCGTGTGGGCCTACCTCGAAAGCGGAGCCCTTGGCCATCCAGTCGACGAAACCTTCTAGACGCCCAGTTTGCGTCTTAAGATGGGTTTCGAAGATGGAGCGGAGGGGGGCTGCGGCTTCCATAGCGCCTGCACGCAGCTTCCATTCGTTATGGGGCATTATGTTGAAGGACTGGTACATGACTGGGCGGAGGTTAGCACCTGCTGCAGGTTCAAGAGCGCTGGACTGGTTACTTACACAGTACGAGATAGGCTAGGAAAGCTTCGTGGACGGAGAGCAAGCCTCTAGGTTGCTCTTGTGTCTTCAGCGGGAGTGCAAAACGCTCAGCGAGCCAAAGGATTGGCGTAATGTTGGTAACATCACGGACAATGTCGATGCTCATCCTGCCCTTGGCGCCTTTGAGGGAGTTCTTCTTGATGAGATTGCGTACGTTGGTCGTGAAGAACTCGTTGATGTTCTTCTCGAAGCCCTCCTCAAAGAAGACCTTGTGCAGAATGTTGGAGCGTTCATCATGCTTCTTCTGCTCGTCCCAGCCGATCATGAAGTCATGTCCAGCAGTACAGTTGCGAATAGCTGCCTGGTACATGACAACGAAACTCTCACGATCCTCGAAGATTTTCTTGCAACCCTCCTGCGTTTGGACGCTGATGATGTCGTAATCGCTGGGAGGGCGTCTGAGGTCGTACTTTTCAAGCACACCATTTCCTTGAAGAATCTCCTTCGCTGCTTTGGGAGTATAGAAGGGCAGCAGCGCGTAGCTGGAAGTTCCCTTGAATCCACCCGGAAGACCCTGGAAGAGCAGCTTAGGAAACACACCACCGTATGCACCGGGTGTTGTCTCCGCCAGCAAAGCCGCTCCCCATTGCGTAAGGGTGTTACTGTTGAAGTCGTAGCTCAGGAAACGATCACCGCGAACCAATGCGACGGCGTCGTCCAGGATACCTCGACCAGTCGTTTGACCAGGGCAGACACCGCTTCCCGGCATGGCAGGTTTGGTGCACTCGGCCATCAATCCAGGGTAGAGTTCCATGTTCTCCATGTGGCCGTACAACAGCTCGGCTGCTCGTGCTGTCTCTTTATCGGAACACCAATCTTCAAACGTATCGTACGGCTTCAGATTAAGATACCGGCGGAACTCGTTGAGCGTGCAGACATTGAACATCTCACGGGCCTGCAATTGGCCCATGAGGTCAACGACCTTTAGACTGGCGGGGGTACCATGGGCACCAAAAGCATGGGCAGGCTCCTCGATGCAGTCTTTGATAAGCTCGGAAAGTTGGGCATCGTTGAACCTGCCGTCAGCGCCTCGCTCAAGGCCTCCAAAAGTCCACTCCCAGGGCTTCTTGCTCATCAAGTCATGACCATATACCTTCATGACTTGGTGGAACATCTCGATTGTCACATCGTCAATGTGGCGGATGTCAGGGAAGACGGAACGGATGATATCTTCCATCCATGTCTCATCCGCGGCACTGAGAGCAGCGTGCCAGTGGTAAAGAACAGCAAACTCCACGGATACATGGCTGCCGGTGCCGCGCTCGACACGTGTGCCGCCTTGCTTGATCTCTTTACCAAGATCAAGAGACCATTCCGAGTTGGCTCGTGGTGTGTTCAGGATGGCAGCGACATAGTCTTTCAGTACGACTGAGGCAAAGAAACCGACGTTAATGTTGCGCGTGATCTGGAATATGTCCTCGTCTTGCCTGAATTCGTGTTAGGCTCATATCGCGTACATGGACTGCAGCAAACTTACCATTTCCTGCCTGCCTCGTCCAGAGTATCCCAGGGCTTGTATTTGCCGTCCTCATTCACTGACAGCAGCGACTCCGCGACGTGGTTGTGGTTTCTCGAGAACATCAACAGTACTGCGACTACACCAGGGGGCATCATCATGATGCGCTCCGAGGCGATTGAGTCTGGGTAGATCAGGCCATCTTTGTAAGTTCGCACGCGATGTTGCTCCTTCTCTGTATTGCCGTACAGGGTGCTGAGGTCAACATAGCTCGAAGTCTCATTGATCCAAGGATCTGTCCTAGAGGTTTGGAAACATTCGTGTATGACTATGGTTGCGAAGGAGAAGAAGAGGCGATTCAGACCAGACGGGTGCTCGCGGAAAGGACCACTGCGCTTGAGAAGCGCCTCGTATACGTCTTCAACGTCAGGTAAATTTGGCCCTTGAGAAGTTGTCAGTCCTGATTCGCATGGGATGATAGCAAGAGGGTACTTACCTTTCGGTTTGGTGGGAGGTACATTTCGCGCATATGGCGAACCTGCCTTGCCCATTTCAGGGTTGTGGGGATTGTTTCCTGAGCCGTCGTGCTTCCGGTATCGTGCCGATGGGCCGGCATGCGTAGGTGTTGGGTGTGGTAAATCATTCCAGAGCATGCTGATGAAACCATCCGACACCTTTGCACTGAGACCGCTGTTCAGAGGAAGACCCTGTAGCATCTGAACTCCCTTCTCGAGAAGAAGTTCTTTGTCGTCCAGAGGCTCACCGGATGCGAGTGTCGTAATGGCATCGAGGGCAAACTTGGCATCCTTAACACCGAGACCTCTAATGTCGCTGACGATGCCAGTCTTCTGGTGGTTCTTCATGCCACTCGATGCTTCCGCTGTTCGGCCATCGCTGGCTTGCGTCGGCTTCCTCCTGATCTTTCCGATCAATGTTTGTATCTGGCTAGGCATGATGAATAAGTGTGTGTATGACCATGTGGAAAAGATGGGAACGGGGAGAATATGAATCCCAGGGCCGGACGGAGTTCACAAAGTAAGTTCAACGTAGCTTGCTGTTGATCTGGGAGGCGCAATGCTCCCCACGCAGGAGCTTGGCCATGGCAAGCAGCAGCGAGCCAGTTGCGTGGCGACGATCGCTAGCAGCTACGGTGTGTTGATCAGCATATGCACTCGGCGAACAGTGTCCTGCGGCTTCCTCAAGGGCGGACGAACCCATGCCTGCATCGGGATGATGTGAGTAGCGTCCGGATCTTGATATCGTCAGACCTCTGATGGCTACAAATGTCCGACTGCTCATTGGTCGTGACTTCCTTTGTGGAGGGTAGTGCCAGACGGATTCTGCGCTACCTTCGCTAAGAACTGACAGAGGGGTATCGAGCACTGCATGACAAGTCCAAGGAATGATCTGTGAGCGGTCCTCAAGACCCACAGCGTAGTAGCACCATTGGCTCCATGAGGAAACGACTAACTAGACCCACCTGTGACGATCCATGGATGGCCTTTGCGACACTGCGAAAAGTCCAAAAGCAACGTGTAGCCAGGAGGTGGGTACGCCTGCCACGTTTCAGGCTTCAGCGCTTTTGGTTGCCTGGGAGTCGTTGTGGTCTCACTTCGGCTGTCTCCCTATGGGAACGTGTCGAAGATGTCGCAACCCTGGCGGTCGATAACATGATAGACAGGAACGGCGACCTGAACTCGCGACCATTCCAAACAGAGACGTGGACAAAAGCCATAGACGAACTATCAAGCGATCGGCATCCCGATTCAGCTTTTTTCGGCTGAGTAGTGGAAGGAGACTCTAGCGCTTGCGGCACCGGAATTGACCGACCTTACTTCCCGACGAATGGTCGCGCAGTCATGTGCTAGCAAGTGGACAGACGAGAGTGAGTTTCAGCTGATGTGGTGGCGGTCAACAACAGGAGTGCCAGCTTGCAAATCTCCGAGTAGGGTGCGGTATCAGGCAGGCACTAGCGACGGCGGTCAGTGGTCTACGGCCTGTCCCGAAGCCGTAAGGTTTACTGTCCGGTTCATCCAAGACGCCGGCGGTGGTTGTGGTGACTGGGAGGTGCGATCGATAGTCGAGAGGACGGCAATCGAGACGGCTGGTGCACGGGCCGCCTCCCCACAAATGATCGCTGGAAGGGTAGCGTCAACCATCGACGCGACGTGCTTTTCCTGCTCACATGTCGGCGAGCAGACCTACACCAACCTCTCCTCTCTGATCGGCACGTTCTTGTTGAATGCACTGCTTCCGAGTCCAATTGGATTAGACACCACTGCGATCACGAGGAACGCGCTCAGCATTAGCTCTCGGAGCTTGCCTGCCTGGACTGCGTAGCATCGCGTCTATCGGTTACCACCATATTGCCAGCCGGGATAGTGGCGAAACGGTGGCATTGGCTTACTTGCAGTCGAGGGCCACATGCGTTTCTTTTCTGCAATCAATTGCAGCACGACACGGGACAGGATGCGGTGTATCTGTCGTGCCTTCTGCCAGGCAACGCTCAGATGCTTGACAGGCTGCCGCATCATTGATGTAGCAACTCAAGGTGGGGGCGTCGTATAGCGCACGGTAGTCAGTTTATCTCAGCTTTCAAAGGTCAATAGTCGCTGTAGGGCGAGCGGCACTTCAGAACGATCAGCGGCTGCTATTAGCGGCGGGACTACTCCCAGCCCACCACCTGCGACATCGACGCGTCGATAGGCGAGCTTTGTTACAAGCCGCATTAGCAATGGCGATCAGTATCTTAATGTGGCTTGATACGCTCGGAAGCTTTGGAGACAGACCAGACGGGGAGCACGCGTCAGTTGTGTTAGGCTTTTGTAGCCGATCCCCGCGTTGATAGAGATTACTTGGCTACTTGACACTTCGCGACTGCTTCATTCTGACGACCAAGCTGGCTTCCTATCAAGGTGCTCTTCCTCGTCAAGCCCCACGTCTCAACATGGCGCGCAAGAACTCAGAGCAGTCACGTCTACCGAGCGTTTCGCCTCAGGTATCCGCACAACCACCTAACAACAACCCTATGGATTACGGAGCCGTGTCACGACGTCCGAACCATGTGACCAAGAAGTTTGTCCTGTGCTTCGATGGTACAGGCAACAAATTCTCAGGCACAGACTCCGACAGCAACATCCTCAAAATCTATCGCATGCTCGATCGCAATGGGGATGATCAGTTCCATTACTACCAGCCCGGAATCGGTACATATGTTACGAAAGCCAATGGATCCATGACCCGAACAGGTCGATGGGAAAAGTTCCAGTCATGGTACGCGAAGGCAAAAGATAGCGCAATAGGTACGTTCGGCGCGGCTCGTTGTGATGCATGGGATCTGATCTGGTGTAGGAACTTCATTCGATCAGCATGTCATGGCGGGATACAAGGTAAGCCATCCCAGGAGGTAGCTCTATCCTCAGCTTAGTGGCTAGAGGACGGAACCCGGTCGCAGCTGGCTGACATGGACTGGACAGTTCCTAATGCGATACTATACACCTGGCGATGATATCTTCTTCTTCGGCTTCTCGCGTGGTGCATATACCGCTCGCTTCCTCGCAGAGATGCTTGATCACGTTGGTCTCCTCTCTGTAAGCAACTGCCCAATGTTTGTCAGGCGATTTCTAATTGTCGACAGGCTGGAAACGAAGAGATGTGTCAATTCGCATGGAAGTGAGTATAGCATGTAGCATGCATGAACTCTACACTAACGCAATCTCAGAACATTCCAGAAATGGCAATGTAGATTACCGGACGAAAAAGGCGGCAAAGATCGCAAGCCAGGCGAGAAATCTGAGAAGCTAAAGCTTCTGGAATTCATGTGCGCGTTTCGCGAGACGTTCAGCCGCCCCGTCAAACCCATTCGGTTTCTGGGCCTCTTCGATACAGTCAATTCCGTGCCTGCTTTCGAGAACGCCTGGATGCAACGTAGCAGATTCCCCTACACCGCAAGAAGCAGCGCCCACGTAATACGACACGCAGTATCCATCGATGAACGACGCGCAAAGTTCAGACAAGATCTCATCTCTCAAGAGAAGCCCGACCGGTCAATGTTGTACAAGCATCGCCACAGACACCGGCAGCACATGAAGGATCTGATCCATGGTGATCATGAAGACCATGACCTAGACGAGAAAGACCACGACGAACAGCAGAGTAGAGGTCGGCGAGATACATTAGCACCACCACCTGAGCGTTACAGAGACCCACATGAGACTTCAGGCGTACGCAGCCGTAGCGCGGACTGCTCCCAGCTTGATGGCGTTCACGGCTCTGCTACTCCTTCGATGCGATCCTATGACGCTGCGGGAACTTTTAACTCTCAAGACGAAGATGGCGAGCAGGATATTCAGGAAGTCTGGTTTCCTGGATGCCATGCAGTAAGTGTGCTCGTCACGGAGGTTCAATTTCAATACTAACGTCGTGTAGGACATCGGAGGAGGCTGGCCTCTTGGTGATGACGACGCAGCACTGAGCCACGTAGCCCTGGTGTGGATGGTGCGCGAAGCTCAAAAAGCTGGGCTCGACTTTGACGAAGACAAGCTCGCAGCTCTGAGTTGCTGCCACGAGGAGCCCACAACCAACGTGTCGCGAGCGCAGAACAACATCCCGATGATTGCAATCGATCCTGCGTCGCCCTCACCCGTCATCGCCAATTCGGGCGCGCAATCCGTCGACACAGCTGGCTACACTGACGACGACAACATCCTTTCGCACCATCGCGAACACCCTAACACGCATTTCCACAAACATTTCCACAGCGCTGCGACCAAAGGCCGTATCCACGACGTCCTGCAATTCAACAATGGTGCCAATCGCATGGGCGTCGTTTCGTGGAACATAATGGAGTACCTGCCTTTCCGACGCATGGACTTACAGGAGGATGGGACATGGAAAGCGATCCGATGGCCTTTGCCCAAGGGTGAGACGCGCGACATACCCGCGAATGCCGTCATCCACAGCAGCGTGATTAAGCGTATGCGCGCGGATCCAACCTACCGACCAGGCAATCTGATTGTAGGTGGCGGTGGAAGAGGTGTCAGGCACGCTCCCAAGGACATGGGTATGGGTCAATGGGTCGTTGCGTGCGATGAGGGCCATCATGTAGGCGAGTGCTTCATGCGCAGAAGCCCACCTGAGAGAACAAAGACGGAGGAAATGGAGCAGCCAGCGTGCGTGGGTGGCATGCAAGTAAGTATCACCGATCCGACTACTCGAACTGAGAATTAACGAATCAAAGGGAAACTACTTCGCTGGCCGCAAGAGGTCGACTGCTCTGTAGACCAAGACACTCGTCCTGTGCGCCGCTTCTACCTAGATGTCTTTCAAGCATTGTTTCTATTTTACTCCACTTTTGATACGGCCGTCTTGAAATCCATGTCTCCTGCACAAAATGACGAAGTGACATGTGTTCGTGTCATTGTTGTCACAATATTGGAAGCCTGTGGTTTGACCTCGATATATGCAAATCGCTACTTGTTCCGCCTGTGTCGAGTTCACACCTCTTCCAGCATCATTCCCATTCATGCAGATGCTCAAGCCTTCTGGGCGTCGTGACCCCAGTTTTTCAAGCTCTTGTAGCTCTTGCTATCCGTGTCCTTCTTCGCCTTGTCCTCTTGCGCAAGATGCCTCTTGCAGTATGCTACCACCTTGCGCATGTGGTCAATGTCTTCTTGTTCATACTTATCCGCGTCCTTCTGCGGATTATTCTGCAGTATAGCAACGATTTTACGACCCGAATCGTGGCCGACTGTCTCGCCGGAGCCGTTGTCTTTGGACCTGTAGGCGTCTTAGAGGGCATGCATGTCATAAGATTCGCAACGTCAGCACTGCATTCGTTGCAGGCAGAGCTTACCAGCCGGCTCCAGCGGATTCATCGCTGCCAAGCCAGTCTTGTAGTTCGTCTGCCGACATGTTGACCAGCTCGTTGAACTCCCTTGCGATGCCGTAAGCACTTTGCTTGCGTTGACGTTCATGGGCCACTTACTCAATCACGGTTTCGTTGTCTTTGACCATTTTGTGATCTACTTGTGAGTCCGGAGGTTGTCTATAGGAAATTTGAGTTTGGTGTACTCCGCAATGTCTTCCCGAGTGTTCTTGTTAGGGGTTCTGGGTTGATGCAGCATTCTCAGTTGGCTCCTGAGTATCGCGACATGATGACATCACCATCGCGTTCCAACGGTGCCTAGAAGGACCAAGGAACGCCGCACGTGACTTGGCAGACCGCGTTGAAGGGCATTGTCTTTGTTCACTCAGACATCGATACATCGAAAGATGCGGGAATGACGACGTTTCAGATCGTACCTGGCATCGGCGCGTTGCCGGCGCAGTGTCTCTTCCCTTCTGCGGTGACAGGATTACTATGTACATCCCACCGGATGCGCTAAACCGCACAGAGCAAGAAGCCGTGAGAGTCAGTTGTCGTGTAAATTACCTAGACACAAGTCATGTTGTAGGGAGAGTTGCGCAAGAAGGTTGCTGTTGTTGGTGCTTGTGTTGTTCCTTCTCCAGCTTTCGTCCCCAGTGCTTACTACTGAGGAGAAGTTTTCTCCAGTCTCCGCAACCTCCACACCCCTTCTTCTCCCCAACACGCAGGCTGCCCCTCAAAGCCTTCACACCCACTCCACGACGTGGGAACTGCCGAGATTACGGCCTCACTTTCTCGTCCGATGCGGGTCGGACATGCCAAGGTAATGGAAGGTTCTTAGTGTCTTCCTTGAGCCTCATGTGGGCCGCTCTCGCACCAATCCGTCGCCGCAACCTGGCTTACGTTGCATCCAAACTGGGTCCCTCGCTTTACTTGACCGGAGAGAGACTGCAAGCGATCGGAGATTGCAGTCCAAAACAAGCACAGCGACAAAGCTTGTGCCGGTTCGCGCGGCAATTGTTCAAAGAGTCGGAGGGATGGTCGGAGCCCAGGTGTTGAGGCTGCACAGGCCCGGATGGGGTCGTACGCATCTCCATCATCCCCACTGCCGAGAGCGTCTGTCGCATCTTGAAGTGAAGTATCTTCACCGACATGGCCCCGGCCGAAGAATACGCGTCGTCGAGTCGATATCCACAAGTCACGCGACCGTCACCAAGTTTCTGGCGCCCGGCTGTGCGGCACAACGGTCCCTGGAGCGCGTCGCTGAGTGCTTTGCGTTTGAATGCGGGGTGCGCATCAGAGGCGTTCACTTTGCACGTTAGGGATCTAGCAGGACGCCTTGTACAACGCCTACCGTCAGATGAGCATGTGAGAGCACGATCCGATCCATGTGTGCTCGAGGCCGTCTATCTCTTGGTGGGCTTCCCGGAACGTCGGGCGGATTTGGCTTGGCTATCGAATCGCGACCTGCTTCCCCACATACACGCCCCTTGTCCCCCAGCGGCTGCGTCGCATTGACAAGCCCACTACTGCAGTTTCAGACCCCCGGATCACTTTTGTTTGGCTGTGGAGGAGGTGAAGCCAAGCTGGTAAGGCCGCTCGCGCGCAATTTCGCGTGACGGCGTGGCGCGTATGACGTAGGAGCCCCGGAGTCGAACGCTCGGCGCGATGCTGGGCATTACCGCATTACGGGACACGGGACTGGAATTGGCATCGATACTTAAGATTCGTCGTGTGCCGAACAAGTAAATCCATCTTGTCTCGCACATCGGTCTTGTCGTGATCGAATCGTTACTACAACCATGGGTCTGGGCAAAGTGTACGTTTGACGCCGTTCGACTATGCATGAATGCTATATTGACTCTGAATAGTTCTGTCCGCGTTCGCGGTGCCGAGTGCGGTATCGAAGCCATCATTCTTGGTGTCATCACATCGATAGGTGGTTTCCTCTTCGGTTACGACACGGTATGCATCTGCCAATCTCTGCCTGTGAATGCGTGTGGCTCACGTAATGCAGGGTCAAATCAGTGGAATCCTCATCTTCAAGGACTTCATCCAGCGTTTTGGACAGGACCAGGGCAATGGCGAGAAAGCATTCGATCCCACGATTTCGTCCCTGCTTGTATCCCTCATGTCCATTGGTACTCTCATCGGCGCGCTCGCTGGTGCTTACACTGCCGACTGGTTTGGTCGTCGCCGCAATCTCTCCATCGGTGTGCTCATATTCGTCATTGGCAACATCATCCAGGTCACAGCGATGAACACCTGGGTCCACATGACTATTGGTCGTATCGTTGCTGGTCTCGGTGTCGGTATTCTCTCTATTGGTGTACCGATGTACCAGTCCGAGGTCTGCCCACGAGAGATTCGTGGTGCCGTAGTCGCATCTTACCAGCTTATGATCACTGTTGGCATCCTGAGTAGGTCTGGCCCAGATGTGTGCTTACAAAGTACTTACTATATGCAGTTTCCAACATTATCAACTTTGGTGTCCGTGACAATCCGGGCCAAGACAGCGATGCCGCCTGGAGAATCGTCATTGGCCTCGGAATCGGCTTCTCGCTCCCTCTTGGCTTCGGTGTACTCTTCACGCCAGAATCGCCCAGATGGTTGGCCGGTAAAGGCCGTTGGGAAGAAGCGCGCATGTCAATGGCTCGTCTCCGAGGCTTGGCACACGACCCCAACCACGAGTTGGTCAACTCGGACTTCAAGGAGATGGAGGATTCCATCAACGAGCAAAAGAGCGCCGGGCAAGGTACTTGGGTGGAATGCTTCACTGGCCAGCCATCCGGTATCCCGCGTCTTGCATACCGTACCCTCGTCGGATGTGCTATCCAATTCTTCCAGCAGTGGACTGGTGTCAACTACTTCTTCTACGTAAGTTCCCTCGAATAACGACCTCACATGCACGCCGCTAATCGTCACAGTATGGCGCGACTATCTTCCAATCCGCAGGCATTGATGATCCTCTCCAAGTTCAACTTATTCTTGGTGCTGTCAACGTGGCCATGACGATCCCCGGGTTGTACCTCATTGAGCGAGTCGGTCGCCGTGTGCCGCTCGTCATTGGCGGTCTCTGGCAAGCTACTTGGCTGCTCATCTTTGCCATCATCGGTGTTGCGCTCCCACCGCAAGACAACCCCACTGCCGGTATCGTCATGATCGTCGCTGCTTGCATGTTCATTGCAAGCTTCGCCGCCACCTGGGGTCCTTTCATTTGGGTAATCATTGGCGAAACTTTCCCGCTCAGAACTCGCGCGAAGCAAGCCTCTTTGGCTACAGCGTTCAACTGGCTCGGTAAGCAACATGCTTTCTTATGCCGACTTCGCTTACTAAAGACCATTCTTAGGCAACTTCCTGATCGGTTTCCTCACACCTTACGCTGACGACGGCATCGGATACGCCTTCGGTTTCGTTTTCTTCGCCTGCAACTTCGTCGCCGCCGGTGTCGTTTACTTCTTCGTCTTCGAGACCAAATCGTTGTCTCTTGAGAACGTCGATATCATGTACTCAGACCCGAGCCTATCTGCCAGGACCAGTAAGAAGTGGGTCCCGGCTGGATACATCAGCCGTAACGAACGCGACGACTCATATTGGGAGCGACGACACAGCGCTGTTGGCGCTACTGGTGCTGTTGGATCTGAGAAGTATGGCGACAAAGATGTCGATACTTCGCCCGAAAGGGGCATGTCAGTGCATCAGGAACACATTGACGAGGAGCGCCGAGGTTAGGGTTTCTCTCGATGCATACTCAGTTCATATCCTGGTATTTGGGACGAAGATGCATTCGCACAGCTCAGTGAACCGCTTCCTTTCAGCATGACGCCGCACTCTACCAAGCGGTATACATAATACACAGACTATCCCATTCAATACAATATCATCTACTGTTTCCAGTGTCCAAGTCTGCTTTGTCTCCTGTTCCGTGTACCTGATGACAAAATGCCGACACAGCCACATCCCTGCTAAATTTAGCGTGCTGCGTGGCGCATTCCACAAACAACGCGTCAGCTCCACGTCTTCTCCCCAGCCACTCTCCGCTTTCACTCACCAGAACAACAAGAACAGCATCTTCATTCCTCTGTACTTTGGCTACTCAGTACCCAGGCTTCCGCTCTGCCCACGCTCAAACACTTCATACCACAGAGACGTACAACTACACCGCCATGCCGCCAGCAGCGTCGCCTCGCAACACCAGCACGCTCGCCAAATTAGCGCGCCGGACCCTGGTCACAGCGGGGCCGGCTGTCGCCTCGCAGGCTTCGCATCACTTTGAGCGCCGCGGGTTGAGTGTAAATCACACCCAAGGGGTTACGCTGGGTGTTATTGCTGCGTATGTTGTCGTTATTGCGTTGTTGTGGAACTTGCCGTATGTACGGTGGGTGTTGTGGCCGTTCAAGGTATGTAGGTAGCGTGGGGCAATGGGAGATGTTGATAGCTGACGAAACCCACAGATGCTCGTCATAGCCTTTCATGAATTCTCTCATGCAATAACATCCTGCTGTACCGGCGGGCGAGTGGAGTCCATCTCCCTTGATCCCCATGAAGGCGGTGTAACGCATATGCGCGGCGGCAAGCAATTCATAACTCTGCCTGCTGGCTACTTGGGCTCCTCATTGATAGGTGCTCTGCTGACCTTCTGTGGCTTCAACATCGTGGCATCCAAAGTAGCGAGTATAGTGCTAGGCGTTTGCTTCTTGCTGACACTATGGTGGGCGAGAAAAGACTGGTTGACTATCGTCACAATTCTTCTCAGCGTAGGGCTACTGATAGCCTTCTGGTTCATCGAACATGGCGAGGCGTTGAGGTTCATGGTCGTAGGTGTCTTTCCCTGTCCCCTCGAAATGTCCTTACTAACACCGCTCCAGCTTTTCATCGGCGTCATGTCTTCTCTCTACAGCGTCTGGGATATCTGTGACGACCTCATTCTCCGTAAGGTCAACTCGTCTGATGCCAGCGTCTTCGCTAAGCGGTATGGCGGTTCGTCGCAATGCTGGGGTGTCATTTGGTCGCTTGTGTCGTTGGTGTTTATGGTATGCGGGATCCTTGCGGGGTTGGCAGCCTTTAAACAGAGCTTCGAACAGCAAGAGAAGGATAGTCAAGACTTTATTCCTACGGTACGGATGATGATGAGGGTGTGATCTGTCGTCCAATAAAAGGCCTTTTCTGGATTGGCGTCTGTAGATTCGGCATGTGTAGTTGGTGACGCTTGATATATCCGTATAGCATTGAGCCTCGCAAAACTCAGATCATTTATCACAGGGGAGTGACATTGACACTCGTAGTTCAAGGGTAACGAGAGTATTTTGCGGCAGTAATGGTTAGCCGAAAAAGTACCTTGGAGCGAATGGAGTTGGCGGATACGTATCCTCATTGACCCGGAAGAAGAAAGTTAAAGGTACAAGTTCCCGGTCATGCCCTGCATGTAGCTCACGACCACCCGTCATGGTAAAAGTAAGGAAGTCGTTACCATCGGAAAGAAAAGGGGTCTCACACTTTTGGTCCGCGGCGTCACCAAATCCAATCTCCAACGTGCTCATTCCTACATGCGTCTCTACCACCATCTCACTCGCCTCCAAAGAATCCACCAAACTGCAGTTCCAGAGCCCGCTTCATCCGCTCAAGTACAACCCTGTTTGCAAGATGAAGAGGAGATTGTGTTGGTGATTTGCAGGAGATGGACAAAGTTAAGGTAACGTCGGGAAGTCTAGATACCCACGCAAGTCTTGATCGAAGTGAAGGTGAGAAGAGGGTAAGTTCAGAACGGTTACACTATTCTGATACCAAGATGTCGCCGAATGGAGCTGCTGCTTATAAGTGCTCGTACATCGAAGAATGTGTAGCGCTTACTGCGGTTGGTCACGGGAGGTGGCTGGTGAAAGGGAAGAGTGAGGCTAAAAAGAGTGTCGACACGTTTACATGTGATTAGATGAAGATCCATATAGATTGCAATATCTCCCCTAACGCAATCCCACCCCCTTCACACTTTCGAAAAGCGCCTCCTCTCTAACGAGCACGGCGCGATTCAAATCCTTCTTTTGCACGCTCGGGATGCCGCTCAAATGCAATGTCAACTCGAGCTCACCCACCAGACTCTTGAGCACATGCTCCACGCCTTTCTCTCCTCCAAGCGCCAGACCATACACATACGGCCTACCAATCAGCACGCAGTCGGCTCCTAGCGCCATGGCCTTGGCAATGTCAGCACCCGATTGTATCCCGCTGTCGAAGAAAATGGTCAACCTATCCCCAACAGCATCAACAATATGTGGCAGCACGCCCAACGACGAATTCCCTCCATCGAGCTGCCTGCCCCCATGGTTACTCACAACGACGCCCTGCACGCCAATTTCCACCGCCTTCCTCGCATCAGCCAAGCTCTGAATGCCCTTGAGCACAATCGGCCCATGCCAGTGTTTCTGGAGAAACTCGACATCCTCCCAACTATGGCTCTCGCCCGGGAAAATCGTCCTCATCCATTCTGGCGCCGCAGCCTCCATCTTTCGTTCTACATCCACGCCATGTCTCGCTTTGAACTGTTTCCGGAACACAGGATCCGTCATGCCAAGTTCTACGCCTGTGCGGTCGGCGCGCATGAAGGGGTTGTATCCGTTGTCCATGTCTTCGGGTCTCCATCCGAGGATGTACGTATCTAGAGTTACAAACAGAGCTGTAAAGCCGGCGTTCTTTGCGCGTTCAAGTAGCGAAATGGTGATGTCGTCGTGTTCGCGTGACGGCCAGTAGAGTTGGTACCAGCGTTGACTGTTGGGGCCGTTGGCTGCGGCAGTATCTTCTATACTCGTACTACTTGCCGTACTTAGGATGTACGGGATGGCTTCTTTGGCTGCTGCTTTTGCAGCCGCGACCTCGCCTTCTGGGTTGAAGATTTTGAGTACACCGACGGGCGCCATGGCGATGGGTGCTACCATCTTCTCCCCAAAGATCTCGGATGTCAGGTCAGGGAAGCCGTCGTACCTGACTAGGCGGTTGGGTACAATCGACCATCTTCTAAAGGCACTGCGGTTCTTGTCTGTGGTCTCCCGTACGCCGGCGGATCCGTATACGTAGCCTTTTGAGTCGGCTGACATGCGACTGCAGGCCAGCTCTTCCCATTTGTCAGCCTGGAAGGTGAGCGGTGGGCGTTCAAAGTCCAGTCCGCGCGTATATGTCTGCATTTCGTAGTCGACGGCATCTTGCTCTGGCTTGCGAGTTTGGAACTTGGGATGGTGTTGGGTCGCTGTAGGTTCGGACATGGTGGCTTTGGGTCTCTAACGGGTTGAAGTGAGGATTGAAGTTGAAAGTCGCGAAGAAACCTTCCGAGGGATGGCGTATGGCTAATGCACGTCACACCATGGCAGCTTCGCGGATACTTTCGGAAACGACGCAGTGACGTCACGCGCTGTCATGGCAAAGCACCTAGGTATGCCTAAGCATGCTGACAGATGGAGTACTTGCGGACACAGGTCCGTGTGGTGATGCATTTCTACCCGTCTAATAAAGTGCCTCTATGTGTCGGCTCCGTGATGGCAGCCTGCGCAAAACATGCAGCCTCGGCCTGTGAAGAAAGGCGGGCATCCCAAACTCCATCCATGCAAATGACGACCATGGCAGTACAACAAGCAAGGCTACGTGGGACGTCTAGACAGCGACACAGCCGCCGTCAATCTTCAGGTGGCCGCCGGTCATGAACTTGCTGTCTTCGCTGACGAGGAAAGCGACGACGCTGGCCACGTCGTCGGGGCTGCTGAAGCGGTCGAGGGCAGTCTCCTCCTTGAGCTCGGCCAGCTTCTCCTTGCTCCAGCCGTCCTTGTAGCCGGGGGTCTGGATGATGCTGGTGTGGATGGTGTTGACGCGGATGTTGAGGGGGCCGAGCTCCTCGGCAGCGGTGAGGGCAATGCCGCGCAGGGCGAACTTGCTGGCGCTGTACGAGATGAGGTTGGGGAAGCCGCGCAGGCCGGCGATGGAGGAGCGGATGATGATGGAGCCGCCGGCGGCCGTCGTCTGCATGGCGGTGGCGGCGTACTTGACGCCGAGGAAAGCTGGCAGTGGTCAGCGGGTCACGTGGTGGGGTCACGTGGGGTCACGTGGGCGTACCGGACTTGGCGTTGATGGTCATGATGCGGTCAAAGTCGTCCTCGGTCACGTCGAAGATGCTCTTGGACTCGCCGCGGTGGCAGCAGTTGAGCAGGGCGGCGTCGAGCCTCTCGAAGCGCTGGACGACCTTCTTGGCGCAGGCCTCGACGTCGGGCTCCTTGGTGGCGTCGGCGACGATGGTCAGCAGGCGCGACTCGATGGGGATGCCCGTGGGGATGGCGGCCTTGAGCACGGGCACGGCGACCTCGAGGGCCGTCTGGTCGATGTCGATGAGGGCGACGTTGCAGCCCTCGATGAGCAGGCGGCCGGCCGACTCGACGCCCACCTTGCCGCCGCCGCCCGTGATCATGACGACCTTGCCCTCGAGGCGCTGGATGGGCAGCGGGCGCGTCAGGTTGGTCGACGTGGGCGCGCGCTCCATGCCCGGCCGCGGGGGCTTGTTGAGGTTGAGCGTCGAGATGGCGGCGCCGGGCGTGCGCAGGCTCTCGGTCGTGTTGGCGCGCTGCATCGTGTGTGTCGGCGTCGTCGGCGTCGTCGTCGTCGGCGTGCTGGGAGCGTCGGCGATGCTATTTCTACGTGCGGTGCTCCCTCTCACCGGACCCGTCGTCTCCCTCAAGATGACGTAGCGCCGGGGTTCCCTAGGCGAAATCTTTTCTGCAGCCCGCGCTGATCAAACCCGTCCGTTGAGCCTCCTGCTGGCGGCCGGACCCACCGCCCCGCCCTGGCAGCCAATGCCGCCCGCCGCCGCCATCACTTATCGCACCCCATGCGCACCGCGGTGGGTGCGGTGGGCAAGACACCTGTCGCGCAATCTGCGCCGTTCCACCACTCAGTGACGCCCGCCGCCGCCTCCCCCAGGTGTTCGAACAAGGCGGTCAAGCACTGCGCTATACTGCCAAAGCGGCAGGTAGTCCGGGTCCATTCGTCAAGCTACTGCCCCGTTGCGCCCGGCTAACGCGGAACTTAGGTACATGGACACGTTGACATCCCCTTGCTCTCCCACAACCTCGCACTCACTCACCAGTCCAGGAAGTAGTCGATGCCGTCCGCCAGAGCTGCCGCGCCTACTGCCGCGTGGTCACTGAACGGGTACTCGTGGATGCTGACATCCCTCAACGCCGGGCTGCCCTCCAGCCTGCTGTACAGCTTCTGGCTCAGATCCGTCATGCGCTGCGGCACGAGGATGCTCTGCCTGAACGCAAACTCCGCGTCCATCTCCGTCCGTCGCTTCACCAGCTTCTGTTCGAGCGCGCCGTAGCTTATCTGGAAAGCAGGCTTGGTCGCGTTGGCCGTGTCGCTGGCCGAAGGCGACACCAGCGGTGCAAGGAAGTCCGTGTTGTTGAAGACGTAGTCGTCGTTGAAGAAGAGGGCCGGAGAAGCGCTGAGGAACGTATCGAAGAGATCAGGCCGTACCGTGAGCGCATACAGGACGAAGAGGCCGCCAAAGGAGTGGCCGTAGAGTGCGTCGCGGTCAAACTCAGCTTTCGGGAAAGCCGTCTCCTGAACCCATGGCCGGAGAGCGTTGTCGATGAACTCGATGAACTCATCCGCATTGGACTGCACGCCAGGCACCGCAGGTAAGGGGCAGCCATCGCAGACTGGAGGCTGGAAGTCGTAGCTCCGCTGCGTGCTGTAGGGTGAATCTTCGATGGTCTCCGGGTAGCCTATGCTGACGACAATGCAGTCGGGCATGTTGAACTCGACGGGACGGCGGCGGCGGAAGGCTTCTGTGGCAGTCATACCCAGAGCATTGCCGTCCAGGACATACCTAGTAGCCGTGTCAGTCCGAAACCCCGTGGTGCCGCTGCCGCTGCCTGTGTCCTTACATTGTCTCCACAGTCGACGTCTCCTCCTGTGAGGTCCAGTTCAGCGGCCATGCCAGCTGAATCTGGTATTCCCAAGATCCGTTCTTCGCACTCCAGAACCCTAGGTTGGGCAACACATTGGTAGGAAACTCGGTCATGAGTGGCGTGAACTGCCAGGCACCCAGTGAACTCATCCTCGCGGTTGTAACGACGGTCCGTTTCGCGTACTGTTAAATTCAGGGCAGACTACCTTCCAGCCGGAAAATCGTGGTTTTAGTACCTGACAACTACCAGAGTAGTCGTCCTAGAAGTATAGACCCAAGGCGCGGGGTGCCAGCCCGTGTTCTATGCACACATCACGCCGCAATCGCAAGGGTCCCGCACTAACTTTGCTGTGGTGGGTTAGCATGGACGCGGCATGGCATTCTAGTCTCGGTACCTGTACTCTGACATCCCAGCGCCTTATTGGGACATGTATATATTGCCAAGACGGGGGATCATCCTTGTTGTCTCCCGTCTCTGCAGTCTGTTCGCCTTTCATGATGATATCAACGCGACTGGACATCTTGTGACACGGGTCGTCGTATAGGATCTAGGCGTCCGCTGCTACAGTCTCAAATTAGTGCGATGGAATTGCGAGTCAAGCAGCTATCCAAGTGGAGGAGGCGGGTCAGAAGAGTTCGTCTGCGTTCTGGCTCTTGAAGAACGGCGGTTGCATGCGCGCAGCCGACGAGCCTCAATCCTACTCGACGGAACTATCGAACGGTAAACCTGGCTACATCGCGTCCATGCAGAAGTCGTGATCAAGTCGCGATACGCGATGAATTCATTCGGGGGGATGTCTCCGGTGCAGCTAGGTGCGCTACATCCACGTGCTCCTACCATCGCAGATGCAGCCGCTGTCACAATCACCCCGGCAGTCCAATCGAATGACCGGGATATCGATCTGATATAACCGTTGCGGTGGGTTGTCCTTCGTCGGCGTTCTTACAAACAGTCGGTTGGCGCAGTCCTGGCTCACGACAAAATTCGTTGGTTGGCGTCAGCGCATCGGGCCGTAACCATAAACGTTAACGCCATCCGAACGAGGCAGGTCCTGGGGACCCAAGTGCCGGGAACACAACCTCTTCTGACACAGACTCAACGCCGGGTTCAACGGCGAGTCATCCAAGATTTGGATTTGTGATCTTATGCGACCAATTACGAGAGGATGCAGCGATGCGAATCGCATGAACGCAGACGACGATAGTTAGAACAAAGCGATGACAAACGTCACAAAGGTGTTGCTGAATAACATGCTAGAAGGGTGTCTACTTGATACAAATGTAACCATCTTTCTTTAAAAAGCACCTCGTCCAGGCAGCGGATCGTTTTTCGCGGGGCAAGATGCGTCATAGATTGTCGGATTGACAAACTTGGGCATAGGGTCGTTGTTATAAGCCAGCTCGACGAGTGTAGCATTGCCTTTGCACGTGTTAGCGTAGAAACAGGCGTTCGGGTGTTCCCAGTGCTTACCCGAGTTGTACATCGGCCATCCGTACTTGGTCAACCCCTCCTGCGAATCACGGGCAAACGCAGCCCAGGCGCCCTGGACATGCTTCATATACTGGTTCTCAGCAGGAGAATTGGGCAGGCCAGAGATGTCTTGAGCGGTACCGAAGACCAGGCCTAGGTCAGAGCCGTGGTAGGCCGCGCTTCCTCGAGGCCCGAGGCCTGCGCTGCCGTTGTAGAGGCGGAGGTTGTCCCAATCTCCGTGGTATCTGTATCGCCAGGTCGGGACGTCGTACTGCGCCCTGTATGCAGCGGACAAGGAGGATGGACATGTGAAGCCACGCTGGGTGAACAGATCCCATTGCGCGTTGGTAAAGTTCAGCTTGGCCGCCCACCCTGAAATGCGATACCAGCCGTCTTCGTGGTCCGCATTGCCGACCAAAAGCGGAATCTTGGCGAAGGAACCGTCCGCTGAGAGTTGCTGATAATCCGCAAAAACCGTCATGTTGTCGACGGTCGGATGGAAGGTCGCTTGAGTCAGACCGACGCTGGGAAGACCAGGAACCTTTGCCGAGGCAGCCAGAAGAGCAGACATGTTTGCAGAACGTACGCAAGATACGACATCGGCAGAGTCATTGGCAGCACCCCCACAACCGATGGTCTGGGACACATTGTACCAGATAGACTGCGAGTACTCGACTGTGTTGGGAACGAAGCTCAGTGAGGTTCCAGACATGGGGATGAGACCCGAGACAATTGGGTCGTTTTTCCAGGCGTATGCCCAGTAGTCGACAGCGGCGCCACCTGCACTTTGTCCAAAGACGACGATGCGCGAAGGGTCGCCTCCAAAGCCAGCGATATTATCGCGCACCCATTCGACAGCGCTACGGTGGTCGCGCAGGGCCGCGTTCTTCTCAACACCAGGAGCACCAGCGAAGCCGAAGATGCCCAATCGGTAACTGACCCAGTCAGTAGGTGTAGGGTCGACCACAGCGGGTGTCTTACTTGAATGTCACAACGACGACATCCTCAGCGTCGGCCAGATACTGCCCGTTGTAGAAGGGAGAGTGAGGGCCGGGGATCTGGAAACCTAGCGTGGCTGTTAGAAGTCATCCATGACAGCCGAAGGGACCACGTACGTCCTCCGTGAAGAAACACCAGCACTGGTTTCTTTGCATCGGCATCACCAGCACTCGCCGTCCAGACATTGAGCTTCAAGCAGTCCTCGGACACCGAATTGTTGTTCTGAGCTGCGAAGTTCTTCCACACACGCAAGCCGGATGGCTGTGTGAAGTTGGGGAAAGCTGATACTGGCGGCTTAACAGCAGGGCAGTCACTGTAAAGTCATTAGACGTATCCTACATGTTCGAACTCTCAACATACGGAGACTACAGTCTGTCAGTGATTGAGCACTACCCAGTGATGTCGTGATTACTGACCCACTCGGATGCCTCGAAAACGGTTCCTTTGGGCGCGTCGAACTTCTTCGGCGCAGCAAATCTCAGTTCGCCGACTGGCGCTTCTGCATATCGAATGCCCAAGAATTCAGTCACACGTGTCTTGTTAGACGATGGGTGACCGATCAAGGTACCGCTCGACGTCTCGATGTTGGAGCCATTCTTCGGCGCTGCGACGGCCGAACCGAATAGCGAAGCTACAGCTGCAGCGGTAAGGAGGAGGTGTTGCATAATTTCAATTCGAAACAGCAACTACCATGCGCTCGACGGAATAACTTCAAACAGCTGGAGGGCGGCCAGCTGACTTTATTGGAGCGAGATGTAAATCACGGCTCGGTGGCAAGCTGTTAGCTCCACGTTCCTGCGTGGCCAGCCGTCGACGATGGGACAACAGGGCTGCAACCAGACAAAGCTCCGACCAGGCAAAGTCCCGAGGCAGATGGCAGTGTTGCGAAAGACTCATGCCGAGTGCGCGCGGTCTTACGCCGGCGTCAAAAGCTTCGACGTTGTCAGACAGGACGGGTACGCACGAGGCTTCATCTCGGCTGCAGCCCTAGCAAGGACAACACTAGTCCCAATGCGCTACCCGTCTCCCAGTCGCCCGGAACCTTTCGATCTGGCGGACCTCTCCATCGTCGTGACATACGAACCCGAACACTTGGGACTTTGATGCTGTTCATTCCGCTCAAGCCTTTGCTTTTTCGATACAACTCAAGACCCAAACCTGACGGGCGTAGGCGATGAGTGCGATTTGCCTACATCCGGCACAATTCCGGGCACCGCTGATCGCCATCTGATGTCACCCACCCATACCTGTTCAGTACACTGCACCGAGCCGATTGGCAGTCAGCCCTGGCATTCACGGCAAACGCCTGGACCGTAGCAGGGAAAACCCTGAGCGCGCACGGCATTGTAGAGATCGACATGTGTGGTCCCCGAAGATTGGTACACCAGATCCAATCGCGTCGGATACGAATGCAGAGAAATTCGCCGTCAAAGCATTCCCGTGATGCCCCCACGGAAGGGTCATCAGCCGCTGCACACCCTATACCCTGCATCGCCGTATCTTCAGGGCCGGGTACCTGGAAAGTCCCATGCTGCACGAGGCCCATTAATGATTATACCGTAGGCTCCCGCTGTTCGTGGGTCATCCACAGGACTTGCTCTCCAAAACTTGAGTGTACCCTCATGCGACATGGCTCCCAACGTCGGCCTTGGAACTCAAGGCTCAGTTGAGCGTGGATGGGGCCTCTGGCTCACCAGCGTCTTAGCCGTCATTGTCGCGGGTCTCTTTGTCGCCGGACGCCTTGCACAGCGATTGACCAAGCGAAGTGGTCTGGGAATGGACGACTACATGATCGTCGCTGCCTTGATATCATCGGTCGTGCTCTCTGTAACAGAGTGTCAAGGTTAGTGGACTCGCATCACCTCGAGGGACACTCGTTAAATTCGAACAGCGGTAGTCTATGGCTACGGAAGACCATGGAAATCCTTACCCGCCGATTCCCGCATCATCGCTCGCCAATGGTTCTACGGAGCAAACAGTAAGTAGATTCTCAACGACCGTACAATCCTTCTGGACAGCATGGAGTGCTCCAGGAGCCCGGCCTGAATGGCTACAAAAGGTCATTTAGTGAAGATGGTGCAGAGTGTCACTACGAAGCTTACTGACCGTTGCAGTCGTCTACAAAGTCGTTCTGATGTTCAACAAGATCTCTGTAGTTTGTCTTTACTACCGAATCTTCGCCATAACCACCAAGTCGTTCCGTATTGCTTGTCACATCATGAGTAAGTGCTCTGACATGACACCAGTTCATCGACTGACTTTGGTGTAGACGCTTGGATCATCATCACCGGCTTCGCATTCACTATCGCGACCGTGTTCCAATGCACACCAATCGCGGCCTTCTGGGACAGGACCATACCCGGTGCCCGGTGTTTTAAGAATGAACCCTGGTGGATCTCCTATGCGACGGTTCAAATTACGACCGACTTTATGCTGCTTGCGATGCCTTTTCGGCAGATCTTGAGTCTTTCTATGGGACGGGCTGAAAAGTTGGGCGTGGCGCTTGTGTTTGGCACTGGAGGCTTGTACGTGTCTGGGAGTTCCGTCAAAGGCCCATTGCTAACTTGCTAGTGTCACTTTCGCGTCTATATATCGTGCCACCACAATCGCACGATCCGCAAACAACCCCGATCCAACCTGGGGTCCCGTACCCGCGACAATATGGTCGGTGATAGAAGCAAATGCGGGTATCGTATGTGCTTGCCTTCCTATGCTGCGCGCTCCATTCGTTCGCTTTTTCGGGCCACTTTTCGGCTCGGGCATAGGCACCAAGAACACTACGAAGCGTCAATCGTATCCCATGGGCTGGAAGAGCAACCATGGGCCGGCTGGAACCGGCAACAAGAGCAACGTGTCTGGCAAAAGTGCCTCTGAGCGAGAAAGCGAAGACGATGCACTGCCAGCGAGTAGGCTGGGCGAGCTTGATCGCCGGGGCAGTGGTATATTTGTCACGAACGAGTTCAGTATTGAGCGCAACGAGCTACAAAAGCAAGAGACGGACACAAGGTCGTGCGACCAAGACGGCGATACGAATACGGCGGTGAGCGTCAATGAAGAGAAGCCGGGGGGGAAGAGCCCATTCTACCATGTTTGAGATGACCACGCTACTTGTTCGCGCCCAGCGCGGCTGTGTTAGAGCTGGCTCTTCATCAGATACTGCAAATGCCGTCAAACAGACAGGCTGAGCGTTTTCGCCGATGTGCGCAGCCTGATCGTCAGCTCTCCCAATGGAGACAACTTAGTGTGTGTGTGTTTTCGGTCCTATACTAGACGGCCGCTAGCGAAAGCGACGCGCGATTTTCAATGGCCAATTCAGCAACCGCTTGCCTACTGACAGCCGGTCTACTCACATGGCCTCTTGACGAAACATGGCGCGGATGCTGGTTTCCATGCGTCTTCCACGCACACGGTGGTGCAGATGGCTGCCGAGCGTCGCGATGATTTCCTACCGTCGGGGCGACAAAGGAGGATGAGGTCAGGTACGACTGGACAGCCCGCGCGGCCTTGGTAGTGTTACGACGTCTTCCTGGCCCTCCCAGAAACCTAGAGAGCTAGATAGCAGATGCAATGCAACGCACACTAGATCCCAGACACTTCGCGCGCCAGCAAGCAACAGTTTCCGCGTCGTGTTGCCGCAGAGAACCAGATAAGCACCCAAGATGGCTGCACGATCTAGATCGCGAGCCGCAGCAGAAGAGTGAAAATTTGGCAGCCGAATCTGCGGTCGCACGTTGACTCCCAACAAAGAGAGGCCGAGCAGTGCGGCATTTATCTAGCCCTGGCAACGTGTGGCGTCGAAGACACACGAGTGCAGCAGGCAAAGGCGTGGCATGGACTGTCGCAATGCTTGGTTGCGGACAGCGGGCGTGTTCGCGAATGAAGAGCGTGCAGCGAAAGCCAAGACAGGACAGAGGCTTGCCGATCGGTGCCCCGCTTCCTCTGCGCCACAGTTGGATGTTGGTCTCTCCCCCAGACGTCATGCGCACATGCAGTGAATATCGACTTGACCGCATCCGTGATGTATCCTGATTTTCCTCCAGCTGGCGCGCGCGCTTCTGTGCTCTGCCATCGACATCTCTCGAGCTGAAGCCGCGACGAGCCCCGCCGACATGACGACCAAGAGTACCACCGACTTTGTCGAATCAACCGAGCCTGTCGGAGCCAAGACCAAGGCGCAGGTCCTCACCGACGTCTTCTCTCTCGCGACCCAGTTCAGCACTTGTGTTGAAGCTTTCAACCTCATCCATCCTTCCAAGGACCACGACCATGCGCAGAAGGTTGCGCTTGCCAAGCTCGGCCTTCAGCAGGGCAGGTTGCTGATCTTTGGCGATGCCGTGGGCATCTCTGCGCCGCCCGCGACCATTGCTCGACACATGATCCCCAGCCATCCGGGCATCACGAACCCGGATCCGCATCTGCCAGTCAACTTTGGCGTCCGAGACCCGAGGCTTGACGACGAGGTTATCAATGCAAAGGTGCGCAGGGCCCTGCATGAGATCGCCGGCCGCCCTAGCACTATGTCGCGCGATGAACTGATGAACGTATACGGCTTGAAGAGTCCAAAGACGTTCTCGCGCCTGGAATACCCAGCACTCGACACCAACCGACTAGAAGGCTTCCGCGAGAAGTTTGCCCTCCTCAAGGATCTCCTCGCACAGACGGGCGCGCGGGCGACTCTAAAGCGCAACCTGAGCATGACCACCTCGCATTGGACCGTCAAGGACACCACGCGCTTCAGCGAGTACGTCAAGGTTGTCCGCACCGAAGTCGATGCGCTCATTGATCTCATGGGCGTCAAGGAGCAGGTTGACCGGGGAATCCGATCCGATCTCAAGAGCATGGGCTGGCACCCTGACCTCACAGGGCCAGCAGTGCGGCAAGACTGGGAGAAGCTGCGTCTGATCCGGGAAGCCTGCGTCGTCGATTATCCAGAGTACATCGATGTCATCGACAAAGCCATGTCGTACATCACCGAAGAAGTCAAGGAATCCAATCTCGCCCGAAACCGTGCTGTACTGGGTCTTTCAGAATCCAATGTGGATGCAGCAGGCGCGCGCCGCAAGTCAGACTACGATGTCCGCTCCATTCCGGCTCCTTCGCCAGCCCACGTCGCCGGACTCAAGCCCTCAAAGCCAGAAGCAAAATCCCACATCCAGCTGGCTGCCGAACGTGCCCTGAATCCAAACGCTGGCAAGGAAAAGCGCCCGGGTTGGCTCTCGGCTTTCAAATTCAAGTCGTGGTCCAAGAGCAGCAAAACCGCACACGACAAGCAGCGCTCGAACAGCGTTCCACATACTCCGACCGTTGACCCTCAGCGCTCCCTCTCAGCAGGCGAGGCACCAAATCGCGCCTCGGAAGACTCCAACGCCCTCCAAGCCGTGCGCTCCAAGTCCCTTAGCGCAATCCCCAGCGACAACACACCACAGCCTCCGCCTTCAAATCTAGACTCTCGCGTCCGCAAGCTCAGTCTAGATCACGGAGACATGGCGGGTATCCCGCCCATCCAGGAGAATGGCGGCGAAGTGACTAGTTTCCCAGCAAGAAGCGGGCTAGCTGAGTTCGACGACGATATGGACAAGAACGCGCTGGTGCAGGTGGACACGGCCAAGAGTGAGGGGAGCAAAGATGAACTGGAGAATGTCAAGACCGTGAATAGTTACATTGATCGGCATGATATGTATCCAGCTATAGGTCGCATTGAAACCAAGGATATCAGGAATGTTGCGCATACGCCGGGTCTCTAAGGTCTGGCGCGTATGCTTACGAGGCCAGTCTAGCGAGAGACGGGGAGTAATTTGTAATCACTTAGTGCATTTTGGTTTCAGAGGAAGAGAAGATATAGTTATAGGGTAACTCAGTGTCAGCCTGTAGATGCTGATTGTGTTCCATAGCGAGGAGCTCACGAATGCTTCGCTACAGATTTATCATCATTTCCACGTCGACGGAGTACGTTCAGAGTCATCATTCCATTGTTGAGCTCAACCATGATCTCGCTTACCGAGGGCAGCATCCGAAAGTCGACCAAGTTGGATCACAGCCCCACACATCCATAGATTGAGCCTTTTCTGCTTACCGTATACTTGCAGAGATGCTATGTGGAATGCTAAAGAGGCTCACTTTAACCACAACACCATTTACATACCATCCGTCAAGTCAACACCACCAGACATATGCTCATGCCAGCCTTGTTCTTTCTTTCCCCACGTGTCTACTCATGAGTACCCGATTGGCAGTTGTTAGGAAGACAGACTACTCGAGCGAACGGCTCTGCATACTCTGGAACGTCTAATGGCGTCACTCGTCAACGCTTACATGCCTTTCGTGAAGACGCTCTACCCATCAAACATGAAGCCATGAGGCCTGGAAGATGGGGTCTCTCTCAATAGCGTTTTGACTTATTCGCGATACCTCATACAATGACCTGAAGTACACAAAAATCTACGAAATGCATCAGACGGGTGCATCTGAAAACGGTCATAGCTGAGGAAGTGGAGACGTTTATAGACACCATGTGCGTTTGGGATGGCTGAACACGGGGCGCTGATATACATCCAACTCTGTATCAAAAGAACTATGTTAACTCGCATGAATGAACCATCATCGCCGCTGAGATGTCCCGCTGTAACGGTCCCTCTACGACCGGCAAGCGATGTCCATGTATTCAGTGCCTCACGCTTCGGCCTCGACCGCACCTTTGCCAACACTACTATTGTCGACAATTAAATCGTATCAACAAATGTCTAAATCCTATTCAAGCGCCTAAGGCGTGGTGAAATCCAGATCTGTCACCGCCAGGGGAAGGGCTAAGTAGTAGCTGACGTCAAGATACCTAATGAAGGGAACAGGGTTCCGCAGAAATAATACGCATAGCTATATTATACCCGTGTTTCTATTATCCGAATAAACATCGTATGTCCTGCAATGCATGCAGCCGCGGGATCTGATAGTGGTGGTGCAGATTTGTTGATTCCCGCACCTCCACCATGACACACATCAAACGCTTTATCTAGTAGATCCTACTGAGCCACGTGATTGGAAAACGTCGTTGACTTCTCTGTCTTGGCATGGGCTACATTGGGATCCTTCGACACTCACCGTGAAGGTGAGTGCATGCTCTCGTCTTCACCTTCACCTTGAGTCCAGGCAGATCGCTTGTTGACTTTTCTCCCTCGCGACTTCCTCCCCATACTTTTGTCAACCTCGTCTCTCGCACCTTTCTACATTGTTCAAGCTCTTACTCCGCAACGTGAGGGCCAAGGTAGTCATCCCCCAGCCATTCTTCTGCGCGCACGCTCTAACTGGATTTGAAAAAGTTACACGTCGTCGCGCGCTCTTGCGGGCTCGATCGTGTTTTGTTTGCGCCCAGTCAACCTGGCAACAACAGCAAACCGCGTCAACAAACACGTTTCTGGAACAAAATCCACCCGCCACACACCAACAGCCATCGAAACGATGCCGCCTAACGGTCTCTACCGCATGCCGCAGCATCACCTGACTGGTCAAGGCGCCTCAATGAAGCGTCCGTCTTACAACAGCATGGACTTCAAAGAGGACGAGGAGCCGGCACCTATCAAAACCAACGATGGTGCGACGGATGAAGTTGCCGAGGAAGAGAAAGCTAAGAAGAAGCAAGAGAAGGCCGAGAGGAAGGAAGCCAGGAGACTGAAGAGGCTGTCCAAAGAAGCTAAAGCTACCAAGGAGCCCGAGAAGGTAGAAGGGAAGCAAAACACACCACCAGTCGATGCGACACCTACTGTCAAGCTTGCTGCGACTCCTCTCAAGAATGGGAAATATGGTCCACGCGGTCCGTACAAGAAGAGGGAGGTTGGACCCGACGGCACACCAGTTTCTGCTGCGAAGAAGCGCAAGCGAGAGAGCGAGGCCGCAGTCGCTATACCAGCTATCGTACCTACGGAGTCACCCAAGAAGAAGCCCGGACGGCCAAAGGCTTCGGACAAGAAGGATACTGTTGAGTCTAACAAGACGGCGAAGAAGGTCGTCAAGTCTGGCGAGAGCAAGGCTAAGAAGCAGAAACTGGAGAAAGCGCCTGCTGCCTCTGATTTGCAGAAGAGTTCCAACGTCATCAAGACCCCGGTACCAGCGCCCTCCGTCGCAGCGGCTCTGTCTTCTCGTCCGAGGCAGACTCCAGTTCCGCTGCCTCACAAGACAGCCGTCCCGCTTCCTCGAAAGACACCTGTCCCGCTTCCTCAGAAGACACCGGTTCCACTTCCTCAGAAGTCTCCCCATACTCTGAAGGACGGCGTCAGTAAGTCATCGGCCAAGGCGGCCAAGGCCGCTTCCGCTCAGTCTGAAGTCCTTGTCACCGAGACTCCTCTTTCGCAGATGAGCCGCACTCCTGCAACCACTCCTCGTGTGTCAGCGATTCCTTTCAGCCTTGCACCGGCACAGTCGTCAGCAGCGACCACAACCAAGAAAACCGAGGAAGCACCTACTGCCGACGAATCGTCTCCCGATATCCCTCTCATGACTATCGCAAGACTTGCCAAAGCCGACAAGCACGTGGTCGGTAGCCAAGGCTCCGTCAACCCACTCACTAACAGCCAAATCGAGAGCTTCACCTCTGCGAACCTCATGAACTTCAAAGAGCCCCTAAACGACGCCCCCAAACCACGCCCCCGAGGTCGTCGCGCTGTCAGCGAAGCAACCAGCACCACGTCGAGCACCTCTTCCTCCACAACCCAAAGTGTTCTGGACATGTATCTGCGCCCTAACAAGCCATACACTCGGCCCGACGAGGAGCTCTCGTCCTTCAGCAAGAAGAAGAAGCATGTTGAGAAGCACACCGAAGCCAGCTTTGACGTTTTCACTACTGCCTTCACCACTTCCCAGCGTACCATCAACTTCACCGAGGAAGCCGAGTACATGGAAGAGTATGACGACTGGCTCTACGACAGCAAAGAAGTAGGTCCCCTTCCTTGCCTACCCCAGTTAACAGGCTGCTCCTCCAAGAGCGAACAGCTGCTACAACTGCAACGCTCCGATGACACCAACACTGCCGCGCTCAAGGTGGTCGTCACAAACGCATTGCAAGTGGAAAAGGCCAACGCCGACATCAAGCGCGCCGAGACTGCATCCACCTTCTTCCGCTACAGTATCTTGACCCGTGTCCCCATGCCTCTTGGTGCGATTGAAGGATCCTGGAAGCTGTACTGCCCCATGTACACCGAGACCCACATCGACAACCACGGTTTCGGCCAGCGCACTCTCAGGGTTTCCTCCATTATTGGTCTGAGCGCCGCATCCGGTGCCCATAGTGCCAGTCTCAGTATTCCATCTCGTTCCTCGCCGTATGCCACCCACGCGTTTCATGCTCCCCCTCACGCATCTTTCCGCATTGTCCAGGCCAAGACAGTTGTCGGCAAATACAACATAGACATCATGTTTCTAGGGAATGGATACTTGAAGCTCAGGGTTGACATGCACCTTTTGACTACGGGTAAGACGGTTGCGGAGAAGAAGGCGGCCAAGAAGGGTAAGCAGGCTAAGATCAAGGCGGGACAGGGTATCTGGGAGTTCCTTGGTGTGCACGAGAAGGCAGTCGATTGGGAGCCCGAGGTCGATGAGGTGGAGAAGGAGGGTAGGAGACTGACTGCAAAGTATGATGGGCGCTAAGGAGAAGCGTGAGGTTGATGGATCGAGTCGGTGATTGGTGGGTGTGAGCTATACGCAACATGCATTGTCGGAGGACGAGTGGAGAGTTAATGAGGTCTTCGCGTTGGGGGAATCCTGGGGTAAGAGTTGGGCTTGCCTGTCGAAGGCTACTTGGGCTTCGCAGGAGCTTTGCAGACTGTTACTTACGGTTTTCATACGCCAGCCGATGAAGATACTCAGCACGGCAAGACTGCACTGTCGGTCGTCCAGACATGAACCGATGATGCCTGTCTATTGCACGTCTTTCTTGTACGATACTCATAATAAACATACAAGGCACGTATACTCGCTTCGCTGTGGCGTGACTGTTGTTCTATTCATACTGTTCGCATCTACGTCTACCACTCGTCATTGAACGAAGCAAAAACTCCTAGTCTCATGCAAGAGGTATCAAAACATCCCTTCCTCGCTATCTCCTAAAACACCTACTCCCCAATTTCTTGCTTCTATATGCAGGGTGACTATATTACGCGTTCCTTGACCAGATCAGAGCGGAGATGTGACCGTCCACTGACCCGTCTCAGCGAGTGAGAGGGAGAAGAAGAGGAAGAAGAGGAAGAAGAGGAAGAAGAGGAAGAAGACACCTAGTCCTTCTTCGCCCGGCCGTTTTGCTGTTCGACAAGCTCCAACTTCTCGTTACCCTTTTGGATAAAGAACTTGCGCTCGAGGAATTTGAGACCTTCGTCGATGATGCTGGTTTCATGTTAGCCTTGCTCTTTCGTTGATTCTAACAGACTGTGAGGATGACTTACATGATAGGCGCACTAATGGCCATGACCGCCTTCCACTCGTTGCCGTCTAGCGGGATGACACTGAAGAGTCCCTGCAAGAACGGAATGTAGAGGAGAGCAAAGTGCAAGGCCATGCTCAAACAGATGGCATAGACGAGCATCATATTTTCCCAGAGCGGCAGTGTCAGCAGACTCTCTGAGCTGCTCAAAGCGTTCATGGCATTGAGCATCTCGATTACGACCAGGATGCTCAAGCTGACGGTTGACGCAGCCTGGGCAGACGAGTTGCTAAACATTTCGCAGCCGATCTCAGGGAACTGGGTAGAGCAGCGGTGGAAGTG